GCCACCACCTTTTCATCACTCTGAGACAGAAGGCATTAGTAAATTCTATTCTGTGGATACGGTGCAATTTTGTACACTTTTTTTTTTTTTAGTTTGAATACAAAGAATGGGAATTTATGGTTTTATTTTGAAAATTTAATTCTTCAAGGTGATAATATAGCATTATATTTTCAAGGAAGCCTTTTTTAGGTAAGATAGTTGAGTGGTCATGTAACTTTTGATTCCTGTAGCTTCAAAAATAAATTTAATTAAATATTTTTGTGAGGAAAAAATATAAAAGGCTAGGGATAAATTCCAATTTTCCTGTCAGAATCTTGGCAGACAAAAAGTGGAAATAATTTCTTCCTTCTAAATGTGTTAGTCTGGGTTAATAAGAAAAATCTTTAACCTTTAAATTTGATTATATCACTTGTCTTTCTTTTAAATACAATATATGAAGTATTATATAAGGACAGTAGGATCTCAGCCCAGTTTTTGTTTAGCTTAAACTACTTATGAAACTAGTGTTAGTTTTCACAAAAATGGCCAGTTGTCCTACACAGACATGTTTAAGTCCCTGAGTGTGCATGAAGTTTGACACTCAGAAAATGAACAAAATTCAATCTTCAAATACTAATCACTATTTAAACCTGGCTTCAAAAAATTTTTCTTAGTCATTTTACTAATGTGCCATCACTGAAAAGTTTGAGAATACAACCTGGTAAAATGGCTTTCAATGCTCATGAATCAATGAAAGAAATATGGTCTTTCTTTATTTTTTGCTTAATGGCTTGCATCTTTTATCTTGTCACATAGTTCAATGGCATAGAATTACAATAAATTAGTTTTGCAATTATCAAACTCTTCAACTTCTCTTTGGCATTTAACGAACCTCAGAATCTGTTTATTGCTTCATATACTTTACCATCATGAATATTAGCCTTTAATTAACTGGAACTCTAATCTTAATCTTTCTCACTATATTGCAATGAAACATTTTTATTAACTTGAAGAAGATAGTATTTGTTACTTTTTTCCGATAAATGGAATACTTTCAGAATGACCTTTTTATCATTAATTATAACAATATAAAATGTAAGAAGGCAAAACTCATTATACCAAAGAAAAGCATTGTCTGATTAGTTTTTGTGTATTTCACTTAGCTACATAAAATCACTGAGAAGCCTCAGCTGAGAGAGGCCTATAGAGATCATGTGGTCCAGGCTTAGATCAAGAATTGCAAGAAAGTGAAAGAGGAAATCATGCACATAAGCTCTTCCTCAGGCAGATTGTGCACAGCTAGAATGACCCAAAGCAGTGTTTGCATTAGAGAATAGTGCTCTGTGCTGGTCTCCCTAGTAATGAAGGCTTGAAGGAAAATAAACTCTTTGCAAAAGGTAAGCAGGAGTGACTCAGTACAGCCACTCTAGCAAAGGTCTCATAAGCTAGGTTTGTCAGATACAAATGAAACAAGTTGTATTCTTTAAATAAAGGAGAGCACAAAAGTACTCTTCAGTTATGCAACATTGCTGTATCTTCAGTGCAGGGACAGTTCCACTGTCTTCCTCATCGCTGATTCTTCTTTGTTCTCCATAGATGTTAGGCTCATTTCTGTCTTGATCACTTCATTGCTTTGAAGTCAGTTACTCTTCCAGGTATTTAAGGTTTCTGTATCTATTGGAGACCAATCTGACAAGAAAAGCATCTTTAAGACAAAGGGAAAAACAACAGCTCTCTCTGTTGACGCTATTTTCAAGTATTCGGTACACTGCTACTTCTCCAGCTGTACACAGTACTTTGGTAGTTATACAGTGCAAGAGTTGCTCAGAGGGTAAAAAAGCCCATATTCAAGTGTAGACAATAATGGCATGTAATATTGAAATGAGAGATATGATAACAGATGAGATTTATTAATGGAAATTATTAATATTTGGGTTTATGAATAATTATTTAATATTTTAATTGAAAAAATCAGGATTGCATAATGAAATTTATAGTTGGCATAATGTTTGGAGTTGTTATTAAAATAGATGAAAATCATGGTGTGACAGATACAAGTCACTGATATAATAGAAATGTAATGAAATATTATAGTAAAAAGTACAACATAATGTACTTAAAACTAATGACAAGAAATTATATTATTAACATTGAGGTCATCATCTGAAAAAAAATACTTGCTGTGGCAGTTAATCAATGGATAACCATAAGATGCCAGTGTGATGTCACCATGAGACTAAATGTAAGGCTGAGAGATCTACCAAACCTACTGTATCACATGAAAAATAATACTTATTTATGATTCCTGATAATAAGGATTTAGTCAACTTGAATGGATTCCTTTTTCCTCAGCTTTTCCAGTCACAGTTTAAACATACAGAAACTTTTAGTATTTTGAACACTGACTTTCAGCCAGGGGTTCCATAAATCCACTATTTTCTGCATGAATACATAAATACTTTTGTTTGTTCCACACTTTTTATTGACTTTTACTGGAGGAGAGAGTGGAAAATCTGCCCTTGTCACCTTCATGAATACATAAATACTTTTGTTTGTTCCACACTTTTTATTGACTAGATGGTTTTTTATGTCCCACGTTTTTACTGGAGGAGATAGTGGAAAATCTGCCCTTGTCCATAATGTCCTGATTTTATATTTCTTTATTTTATTCTTCCATAGTAATCATTTTCTCACTTTAATCTGTTATTTACCTTCAGTCATTATCCTCTTCTGGACCTTTTCTAATTCTACCAATACCTTTTTTTTGAGATGGCAGATCAGAGTAGGTATACTGCTTAAGATGGAGCTTCTAAGCCTTCATGTAAGGACAACGCACAATAAAGGGATTTGATACCAACATACCTTTAGGCCTTCTAGTATCTTTGTTCCTGGATAAAAAAATAGGAAGAAATTTAATTAACATAAACATATTCTCTAGAAAATTTGTAAAGTGCAGTAGAAAAAGTCTTGTAGCAAATTTACTAACATGAGTTGGGAAGAAGAGAATGTCTGGTATCAGAAAAGATATAATTTGAGATTGCATTAGCTACCTCTAATTATGGTAGTCTGCTAGAAAGAATTCAGATTGTATCTCATGTAATCAAGACAGCATATTCTTTATCAATAATTTAACTTAAAATCTAACACTGACCTCTGATATTGTACAGAAAATAATGTTTTAAAGGATGTATGAAATACCTGCTTGTGAATAATATACAAAAGAACAGAGATGCTTTTCCAGTGGCCTAAAAGTGCAGTGACTCTGAGACTTGCCTCAAATGAGAAAACAAAAACAAAAAAAAACAACCTACCCACAAAAAAACCAAGTCAAAGTACATATATTGGTGGCATAGAACAAACTGTTCCTCTGAAGAACAGCAAATGGAAGTTTATTTACATGGGTTAGAAATGCTTTTCTTTGAATGTTACTCTCCCAAAAGGGAGGGGACCCTGAAACTTTCCCCAAAAGAAAAAAAAAAAAAAAAAAAACAAAACAACATACCCACAAAAAAAACCAAGTCAAAGTACATATATTGGTGGCATAGAACAAACTGTTCCTCTGAAGAACAGCAAATGGAAGTTTATTTACATGAGTTAGAAATACTTTTCTTTGAATGTTACTCTTAACTGCTGCAGATGTGTCTACTAAACAAAATTACAGCTGTGCATATCAAATTTATTTTCACTGGACATGGTCTATCAGGGACATCAATATGCAACAATAGGTCACAGTTTAGCCCTAGTTGAAGGAGCTTGTAGAAAAGTACAGTGTAGGCTTATCAATAGTGGACTCCTCTACCTAGGTCAGTGGAAAATTGTGTGAAAACTTTTTGAGGGAAAAAAGTGCCAAGTCAAATTTAGATTTGTAATTAGAAGAGTTAAATTACAGGATAGCCTAAATGAAAATGAGGATGTTACAAATTTACATTCTGTTCACTGGAAAGCTGGATGTCTGCTAGAAACTAATGTAAGGGTGGGTCACTGAAGACAAATAGAACAATACAAAACACTGAGTTTACAATCATTGAAGCTCTCACTTTTTTTTTTTTAATGACACATTCTAGCATTTTTAACAAAAGAAACATGCAGAGAATTGTATGAAGTTCTCATCCCAGATATACAGCTATGGAGTTTCACAGTGAAGAATCAGTTGTCAAGGACATTTGAGATTAGTTTAGCTCTCTCAGACTCTCTTAGCATTTGAGATTAGCTTTGTTAATTAGCTTAAGCAATAGATTTCTTTTAAGTACTTGAAATTCTATTATCATAGTGCCAATTGTTAGTTGCTGTTACTACCATGTTTGAGAAAAAGGTTCCAGCATGAGCATTCTGGAATTGGACTGTCATTCAGACTATGCCATATGCTAAACCAGCAATACCTCAGATAAGGAACTAAGTGGAGCTAAATCAAATTTCCTCACAGGCAGATGAGAGAGGTCTGAGCAAAAGACCTCCATTCTTTCCAGTGCTTCAACCATCAATACTGAAGGACTGGAAGTCATATGAAAGCCGAATCCATAGCATTTAGGGAAGGGATATGCTAAAAGAGATTACCTGATCTCGTTACCTAATGACTAGTGAAAGGCAGTGGAAGGTGCAAACAGTAACATTAGTTGGAAATTAAGTCAAATTACTTCTAGAAAGAAACAGGAAAAGGAGAAATACTTAATTTCCCAATAACTTCTGCTACGTAATGTCACTACCTTCTTGGTGTTTTCTTTTTGCTTAAAAATGCTGTGATAATAGAAAGATCTACTTTAAAATATAGCAATTTTTATGGGATAATCTGAAAGTTGCAAAAAAAAAAAAGTAGTTAACAAAACCTGTAGATCATTACCAAAATGTACTTTCAAAAAAGTGAAGTTTTAGCATATAAAGAAGAAATCAAACTATAATTTGGGAGATCACTAATATTCTTCTTTTATATCTATTTTAAGCCAGGCTTTAGGCTTTTTCTAAAAATATATTATCACTAAACTGTGGGGTTTTTTTGTTTTGTTGGTTTTTCTTTTCTTTTTAAGGTAAGAGGGCCCCCGCCTGCAGGATCAGTAAAACAAAGACCAGCAAAACACACAGCTTTTCGCAAGTTTTATGAAAGAGGAGACTTTCCAATTGCTGTTCAGCATGAGTGTGCAGGAAACAAAATCGCCTGGAAGGTAAGTCCTGGCACAGCTGTGACAACCAGCTGAGCTTATTGAAGTGACATCTCTCATTGTCCAACAAAGTTAGCTTGCAAGTAAATACACTGAAATAATTTCTTAGCAAATGGAAGATGGTGGGAAAGTCATTAGAGAAAGGCCCCTGAGTCAGTTGTCTGCCTTGGCTAACAATTAAATTATATTCTGCAAAAAGGAAGATGACAGAGTTGCTTTGCCTTGGAGAATTGCCTCCTGCCCGATTCATCTCTATTTTTATGAGGACTTGGCAATGCAGCCTGTTTCAGGCAGTCCATCAAATGATGGAAGTGGCTGGATACAGAGAGCAGCAGCCATTTATCTCCCCCAGATTTCACCTTCCTGCAGGACACTTCCAAATAGAAGCTTTAATTACCTAAATGGATAGGTCAAGATTGTCTGCTCCCTGAAAATGCAGAGCAGAATACAAACGAAGGCAGATTCTCATTCCAGGGCTGTACTCTCAGGCTCCAGCATATGTCAGACAGCGTAATCGCTGTCATACGTGCCTCTGTTACAGGCTGACCTCCACTGCTGAAACCATTACAGCTCCGACATTTCTCTGACAAAAGGTTAATTGGCTTCAAAATAAATGTATTGCCTAATGACTCTATTCTAATGCGGCTGTGTTTCTCTCTAAAATGCTTGGTGACGTTATTTGTAAAACTTGCCAATCTTCTAAGTGACTACTGCAGACTTTTAAATTTAATTTAAAGAATGAATGCTGATCTTTAACCTGCTCCTACTATTTAATTATTTTGGTTATCATGAATTACTTTATTTTTTGTCTCATTTATTGGACTAGAAAGATTTTGCTGGAAGCCATATTAGTTACAGAAAATTAACATGAAATGCAGGAACAAAATGTGTCAGATTTTTGTAATGTTTTAAATTTTTCATGTTGTAAACATGATACCAGATTTAAATGTAAAGCTCTGTTAATTCAACACTAAAAGGAGGAATTTTGCAATCATAACTGATTCTGCTTGTAATGAAGCAAACAGGATTGGCTCTGTAGTGTGGTAAGTAGTACAATATTTGATAGTAACTAAATTTTTAAGATAGCTCTTTTGCTTATTGAAATACAGAAGAAAGATTTGTACTACTATTTTGTTACCTTTAGAGGTTTTGAATCAGCACAATGAACAATTAATAGTCCTTGCAGCAAAGGGAATCTCTGTCCTAAAAGACTTTACCCACAATCAAGATGAGATTCCACTGCAATTGGGCTTCAGGCAACAGTAGAAATTCCCTTGCTGGACTAGAACTCACAGGCTTATAACTCAAGCCTGCACTCTGATCTTTCATCACCAGGTGAAGCCCAAAGGTGATTTTCAAGTAACTGCAAAAAAAATCTGCACAATTTAATTTTCATCTTGAGGCTTTTTAATTTCTAATTTCTCAAAAATCAAACTAAGAGGTACAGAAATACTGCTGGACTGGCATTCCACTAGATGATGCTAGTGACTGCTTAGTTGACTTAGGACATCAGGAAATTAAATGGAGCTGCATAAGAAATTCAGATGGGACATTAGCAGAAGGTTTTTCATCGAGAGGGTGGTTGGTCACTGGAACAGATTCCCCAGGGAAGTGCTTGTTAATTTCTGGACAAACCTCTTAGTCATATGATTTAGATTTAAGTAATCCTGTGAGGAAAAAGGAGTTGTATTTGATGATCCTTATGGGTCACTTCCAGCTTGCTAACTTATCTGCAAGCCTTCCAACCACAGATGCATGCTAAAGTAAGTGTTTGATTTCTGTATCTGGCAATTTTAATTGTTGGAAATCATACTGCCTTGAACAGTCACAACAGCAGAGTCTCTAGTCAAAGATTCAGCATGTATTTTTTCTTAACACATTCTGCAGTCTTCTAGACCCAATGTCCACCTACTGCAGTAAAACACTGGCTTTTTGCTAGGGCAATGTAGGCCTGAGATGTCATGCAAGACTTATTTTTGCTATTGTGCTAATCCTTTATTTTGGAAAAAAAAATATTAGAACCTCAGCATGAATGCAAGTAAGCAGCACAGTAGTAGACTATTCCATTTCTGTATTAGTGCATGTTCAGATTCAACCTTATTTCCCTTATTCCATGCTACTTAATTTAGTCACAAATCAATCCTGACTGAGTTCTGTGTCAGGCAGGCACTCAACCACACTGAGGTAGTAGAGTTACTTGAGGCTATTGTTTAGTTTGACATGCAACTGTCATTGATTACTGTGCAGTTTAAGTACATGAAACAGGCAAACTGGCATTTTCCAGTTCAAACTTTTCATTAGATACCTTCTGAAGTCTTACAGGCTGCCCAGAGCTGCAAAAGGGTGAGAATGTTGTTCATCATTAGCTGATACTTAAAGATACAGATTAATTAAGGTCTCTGGTTTTCACTTGTTTAAGGACATAGTTGCACTACTCAAAAGACATCTAATGGCTATTTTTCATCAGTTCATTAGTTATATATCTAATTAAAGAAGTTAACTTTCTAGTAATATATTCTACTTAATACTGCTAAATTCATGATAACTGGAAAGATATCTTACGTATGGAATGTGTTGAGGCAAATGTCCTATAAAAGCTTGACTGAAGTATACTTAGTGCATGAATCATGATCAAGTGGAAGGATAAAAAGAAGAAATTAATGATAACAATGATATTTTAATCCTGCCATAATTACCCAATATCAATGTTTTATGTTGAGAGTGTTTATCTCTGTTTAGTTATAATATATATCATAGTTCATATCACTCTTATTAGTTTGTCTGTCAAGTGGTGCATGAGAGAAAATGTGGAGTGTCTCAGAAACCTGATTTTTTTACTGGTAAAGGAAAATACTACACGATTGTGTTCTTTCCTGCAAAATACACAGCTGTATTTTATTTGCTTCTATGTTTGTTTTTATAATTACTGAATCAAAACTGTAATTGTCAGACATTAATTTTTTTTAAACACTTTGAACACTTATTGATTATGTTGTAATTCTTTGGACAGAATACAGTAATTTTCAGCCAGAACAGGAGAATCTGAAATGCTTTAATATACAAGAATTGTATTTGGTTAATATGTATCAAAAATTTACACAAATGACCCTTGATATTGTGACAGTTCTGCATATCTGTCATTTTAAGTCCATGATTAATTACTTGTAAGGGCTGGCTATGCGTAGCTGTGGTTGTAGACCTAGATGAAATATAAATTTAAACTTCAGGAAATGTATAGAACTGTTTCTGAGTAACTGCATGTGTTGAATATTTAATTATGAAATAACAGTGCTTTTTTGTTGTTACGTAGCTTAATGGTTTCCAAAATGTACTAAATTTAGAAAGAGGCATTCTTGCTCCAAATTAATCCTAAGCATAAACAAGATTAAACTGTGCAGATAAATAATGGTGTTTACCTTGGTGTCTTTTCTTAAAAAAATGGACCAAAGCAAATTAAATCTCTCTAGATTATTATAGGAAGATGTATGTTCTTGGTGAATTTTCAGACTAAGTCTTTACATATATTCAGACATCTCTGAATATTTCTGTAATGCTGTCATTCTGGTTGGTAAGTTTAACTATTATTGCAAGTTTAAATAAACCTGTTTCAACCTAATGGAAAAAAAATGTAAAAAGATAACATACACTTACAACATATTAAACACAAGAACAGGAAATTGAAGCTGGTTTTGAAGAATACCATCCAGATTAAAAAAAAAAAAAAGGATCAAAAAATTCTGATAATGCCTAAGGAAAATTATGTGGTTCTAGAGGATATAATCACATTTATTTGTGAAGAAGACATTGATTGTCTTGGGGTTCCTAATGTTTGTTTTCAACAATTAGAAGTTGTCCTTTTGTCATTTTGAAAAAGTGAATGTAGAGAATGACTTGTTAATTATGTCTGTGAAAACAATACATAACTTGATACACAAATTTCTGGCTTTGATTGCAATTAAATTAACAAAATCATTTCAAAATTAATTCCAGACTTTTCATCCCCTTTCTGTGGATGTCCCTGTAGTCAGTGAATTCTTTGCTAAATAGTGTACATGCAATGTAACATTTTAATATCTAATTTGAAGCCTTTGTTTTTATTCTTCCTTGGTAACCAAAAAAAGAACCATATATATACCAGTGCCTTAAAATTTCTGCAAATATTGAATGTTTATGTTTCTTCTGTAAAGTAGTTTTTAAGATCTGGAAATAAACAACTTATTTGGTTGAGTTATTGAACAAATGTTCAAGGGTCTTTCCAAATAGGAAGCACTTGTTTTTTTCTAAGAGAGAATGAATAATAATGGCATGGTTTGAAAAAGTATTTCTAATGTGTATTAGATGTAAAACTTGGGAACATAAATTTTTGTTAATTTAGAATTAGATAATATTAGAAACTGATCTTTATATCAAAAGAATGTACTAAAATATTTATAAGTCTTTTGACTACTTTTGTGGGATCCTACAGTTCTTTTTCAGCTTATGTATATTGCAATTTTATTTCAAAATGTATTAATACATTCTTTTGCACAATCTCATACCAAGCTATGAATAATAAAAGCTCATAGTTCAGGTCTGAAAAGGACTTCCATTTTTAAATATACGATACTGAATTAAAAAAGGTCAGAATGCAATTAAACCTTTGACTAAGAAAGTTGATAAAACCAAGAAAGTATTTCTGATTATAAAGTATGTGTTTGAAATGCAGTCTCTCTGTATTAAATAGCAAGTCATCAGAATGTTTGAAAAATTATTTTTAAGGGAGTGGAGTTAATTATGCAAGTTATTATGCAGGAGTAAGAAAAGCTTCTATTCTTCAAAAGAATTGTAGCAATTTCAGAGAAATGAAAGCCAAATTCAGAAACTCAAACTTTTTAAAGCAAAATGTCAACATGAACATGATTTCCAATTTTTGGGTTTTTTTCACAAAGTATCTGTATTCACTAAGGATATGACTTCTACCATTTTAGTTTCTCTTCATTTCTCTTTCCTACACAGTTTTGGAT